TATAGACAAGTAGGTGTTTATTCTGAAACTCTTTTAAAAACTGTTTATCAGTGACTAGTAAGGCTAAATATAGGTATATGTCTCTTATGACCCAGTGATTTCCTTTCTAGATCTAGATCTTAGTTAAGTTCTTGCTTCTGAGCACAAGAAATTGTCGGTACGCAACTGTTCGTGGCAGCAAAGACAAAAAAACAACTCAAATGTCTGTAATAGTCAAATGGATTAATCAACCAGTACATTTGTAAAACAGAATAATAAAACTATAAAATGAATAATGCAATGATACACATGAAGATAGATAATTGCAAAAATTAATTTTGGGTGAAGGAAAGAAGTTAAAAAATATTATAAATAGTGTGACTCGATTTATATAAAGTTCAAATCCAGGAGATGCTAAACAGTATATTTTTAGGAATACATGACCATGTGGCAAAACCATGAAGGAAAGGTAGAATTGTATGTATTTCTATTCATTGAGAAAGTAGGATTGAACAATATAAAAAATAAGTTTTATAAATCATAGTTCAGTGAATTCCAGAGCATAATTATGCAGATTCACAGATTTGAACAGACTCCATCTTATAGTAGTGCTGGGTAGTGAGTGACAAGAAGGAGTGATATATCTAGATTATCGACTTGGTATATGGTGTCTTTCCCTTTAACCAGCATAGCATGCACAAAAGGAACATGAGTTTTAATGGTGAAGTTAATATATGGTCAGTTTTTTCTATATTTGAGGTGCTTATGAGAAAGCCACCTATCTATGCATTGGAAACAGTTTAATACCTTATTTTAGAGCAAGGTGGAATGATATCTAGAAATATTAATTTGGATAATAGACACCTAAAGTAAATGCCACGAGTATGCAAATTTGCCGACACAAAAAGAAGCAGGTTGTCAGTAGAAGTGACAAAGAATTAGGAAATGCTTTGTGAGACTGTTTTTTTTTTATGTGAATTCTTTTACAACTTATTGAATTTGAACATGGCTAAAATTATTCTGACTTTCATAGTTAGAGGTAATTCATTTTTTGTCAGTAACCCTCATAAGTTTTGTTCCAACTTTTTGTACCAATCTTCCCTGTGTCTATTATCCCTTCTTAAACCATCTTGGCTGACAGTTTTGAAGTTTAGATATAACATTGTTAGGAAATCATTTTTAAAATTTTACATTATTCTTTCAAAATGACCCCCTAACATTGATAGCTCCCAGACCGTAGTATAGTATTTCTAAAGGAGCTATAAAGTTCATGTTCTTTCAGATTTTTAAATCCTTCAGAAAGAATGGAAGAAGGAAGGATTACCAAGAAAAAATTCAAATCAGGGATATATGTCTTACTTGTGTGATGCCTGGATGTGTTTTTTTTTTTTAATTTAAATTCAATTAGCCAACATAAAGTAGTACATCATTAGTTTCAGATGTACAGTTCAGTTACTCATCTGTTGTATATAACCCCCAGTGCCTGTCACATCACATGCCCTCCTTAATGCCCATCACCCCATTATCCCATCCCCCATCCACCTCCTATCCAGCAACCTTCAGGTTTTTTTTTTTCCCTATAGTTAAGAGTCTCTCATGATTTGTTTCCCTCTCTGATTTCCTCCCATTCAGTTTTCCTTCCCTTGCCCTATGGTACTCTGCTCTGTCTCTTATATTACACATATATTGTGGATAATTGTCTTTCTCTGATTGACTTATTTCACTAAGCATAATACCCTCCAGTTCCATCCAAGTCAGTGTATAAGAGCTCATCCTTTTTGATAGCTGAGTAATATTCCATTGTACAAATACCTCATCTTCTTTATCCATTCATCCATTGATGGACATCTGGGTTCTTTCCATAGTTTGGCTATTGTGGACATTGCTGCTATAAATATTGGGGTGCAGGTGCCTCTTTGGATCATAGTATTTGTATCTTTGTCGTAAATCTCTCATAGTGCAATTGCTGGATTATATGGCAGCCCTATTTTTAACTTCTTGTGGAACCTCCATACTGTATATTGTTTTTTAAGTAACAAAGTCATGGTTCTGTTATGAAAATGCCCTACCAACACTCAAACGAGAGTATGTCTGTGTAAACGGAGGAATTATAACGGAGTACTTTTTTAAAGATTTTATTTATTTAACAGAGATCACAAGTAGGCAGAGAGGCACGCAGAGAGAGGGAAGGGGAAGGCAGAGAGAGAGAGAAGGAAACAGGCTCCCCGCTGAGCAGAGAGTCCGATGCGGGGCTCGATCCCAGGACCCTGAGATCATGACCCAAGCAGACAGCAGAGGCTTAACCCACTGAGCCACCCAGCCACCTCATATAACTGAGTATTTTTTGATTCAATTAATACCTCTTATAAACCTACTTGATATGAACTGGAAAATTGAAGGGCCCAAGAAAAATGACTATCCTTTGAAATGTTTCCCAAAAAAATAGGTTTTCTCTCAATTTATTGAGGTTTTAAACATATGTTTTTTTTTTTCCCCTTTGGAAAATTAGTTTTCAAAAACAGTTAATCTTTGTCTATAGAACTTACTTTTCTGTAAATATGGAAAATTGAAATGTTATATTTCTAATAGAAGTGATCTGTCATCTTATTTTCATGCATCCCCCTTATTGGTAAAGTTACTGAAATCAGCTATGATGCTTTCTTTTTATAATATGGAAACCTTTTGAATCACATATTTGTTGATCCCCAGTTATATGCAAAACCTTTGTTAAACAGTTTTGGAGATGCACAGATGAAGAAGACAGACCAATGAGACATACATGAAACATAGCGTGTTCATATTGTTACAGCTTCCTCCAAGGTTAAGATTAAGCATGTTGGTAGTTTTTTTTTTTTTTTTTAAAGATTTATTTATTTGAGAGGGAGAGAGTGAGAGAGAGCATGAGAGCTGAGAAGATCAGAAGGAGAAGCAGACTCCCTATGGAGTTGGGAGCCCAGTGCGGGACTCGATCCTGGGGCTCTGAGATCAAGACCTGAGTCGAAGGCAGTTGCTTAACCAACTTAGCCACCCAGGCGCCCAAGTATGATGGTAGTTTTTTTAAAAAGGGCAAAGGGAGTAGCTCACTTATCTGGAGAAATATCAACTACCCTCAACCTTTTGAACACAATTTCAAAAGGAAAATGATTGAGAAAAACATTTGCCACTAAACACTTTTACTTAACCAGGAATTCCACAAACTCTACCTTACAAGACTGTAAAAACATTTAGATATTTGTCAAGTACTGTGTGGGAAATATGGTAAGAAATTGAAAGTAAGAATTAACCCTGAAATACAGCGCCAAGATGGGACAAGCTGACAAATGAAAATGCATGAAGGACAAATATCCCTTTACTCTTTTAATTTAACTGATGCTCCTAATCATGAATTAGTTATAAAAAAAAAATGAAACTGTATCTAGTATTTCTTATTTAAAAGTGTGTATCAGTGTTTAATACATTTTGGAGCAAAAGTCCTCCTTTATTTTTTCCGGTTTGGTGGGATTGAATTCTTTAGTGATCAAGAAACTCACCATGTAGAGTCCCTTATAAGGATAATGCAGTATGGCCTAAGTTTTGTATATAAAATTCATTTATTTCCTTTTCAAAATATGCGGAAGAGACTTTGTGAATAACAAATAGCTACTTTTTATAAGGTTCTCATATTAAGATCTTTTTGTATTTTTCCTTTATCATAAAATCTACCTGCAGATTTTATTCTTCCCATTTTCAGAGGAAGAAATTAAGGCACAGTTTAAGAAACTTGTTCAAGTTCCTTCAACTAGTAAGGACAGAATTTATTGATCATGTAAGTAATTAGCCAGTTTCATAATCCTAGCTTTAACTCTTTGGTCAGTCTTCAATATGGTCATGATTAAACATTTTTTATCACAAAAATTGAAATCAACTTAAATTTGCTTAAGCAAATTACGGTCATGATTATAAAGAAGCAAGAGTACCTCTTAGAACCCAAGGACTAGTTGTGAAGTTGAAACCACGTGGCCAAGTGTCTCTGCTTCCTTTTGTGCACCTGGGTCATTGTTTTTACTTTGCTGACCAGCTTTCTCTGTAGCTCCTTATGTCTGCTGGAGATAAATACATCTCCTGCTTGTTCATTATCATCAACTGTATTCACACAGAAAGCCTGAGGAGCTGTCTTTTAATCCTAGTTCTCAAGAAAGAAAAATCTGATTAGCCCAGCATGGGGTAGGAGATTAAACAATGTGCCCTAGTCCACAGCCGTGGAAGCAGTATTGCCAATAGTATTTGGTCTACCATCCCTGTGCAGTGATGGCGTTCCCGTGATGTCCTGGAAGTAGTTCTCAAAGACAGGAAGTGGGTCAGACAGTGTGACCCTTCACTTCAGATAGTAATGCATGGTGGTTAAAATCATTCTGGAGCCAACTTTCTAGATTTATTTCTTAGTTCTGCCATGACTGGTTGAGTAAAATGTTACTTAACCCTTTTGTGCTTACTTATTTTCTTTCTCTAATGTGGTGATAATAATGTTATTATTAAACTATTTAATATTAATAATATTAAACATATTATTAAACTATTTAGAACAGTTTCTGACAAACATTTAATGCATCTTGACTATTATTTTATCCTTATGGTCAATTGGTAAGATACATTTTACTTATCAAATAACTTAATCTTAGTTTTAGGTTTAGTAATATTCCATTACTCCTGTGACCTTCATTGCTTCAAAAATGATACTTATAAAATGAAATGATCTTGCTCTTATTTTTCTAAGAGTTAAACTATCTCCAAGCCTGTCCAAAATTTTAACAAAAGGGGGAAAAATGAATAGGCTAGTAGGCTAGTTAGTTGTTGTAGTAAGAAAGATTGATTTCCTAATAAACTTGAAAAATACTCAAATTCTTCCTGCTGAGTAAAATGTTTCTCTAGAAAAAAACTGTAATAAAGCACATTTGCATAATTATTGAAAATTGTGAACACTGTTAAATGACACAGATGAGATCATTTAATTTTATGTTGATTAATTACACATTTATTTTCAGGTACATGACAGATGGAGGGCTCAACCTGTATACTAGAAGTCTGAATAGAATACCAGACACAACTACTTCCAGAGAGGTCATCCAGAGAGGAGTCCATGACGTGACAGTGGATGCGGACAGGTAATGCTATCAGCATTTACAATGGTGAGAACTGCATAAAGGATCCTTATTTTATAAGGAGATAGTTGGGATAACCAGCTCTCCTTGTTCTTATGAGTTTCCAGCTTGGGGCCTGGTGGAGGAACCTCAGACCAGCTGGAAAGCCCAGATGTGTGTAGAACAAATTGAGACCTGTGAAAGCAGTGGTTCTTAAAGTGTGGTAACTAAGTCAGCAGCAACAGCATTGCTTGGGAACTTGATAAAAATACAGATTAGCTCTATCCAAGATTTACTGAGGGGAAACTCTGGGGTAGGCCTAGTGATCTTCAACAGGCCCTCCAGGTGATTCATTCTTATGGATACTGAAATTACCAAACCACCATCTTAAAATAAACAACTAGATGCCAGTTTGATGAAACCATAAACACTTAGCATAAACATTTTAAAATTTTTAAAAAGGGACATTTTGAAGTTTTTATTCACTTTTTTTAGCTGTGCTCCATCAGGGGAAAGAGAATATCAAAATAACACTGACACTAATCTTTAAATTAGATCAATTAATGACACATTGCCCCTGAAATAAATTGTCTCCATTTGTTAGAGTCAGCTTCTGAGAATTGCATTTTTGAAAGAATTGTAGAATTTAAGGAATCCAAAAACCGCTTTAATCACTTGTATGTATTAAACACCAATAAGACCATCGGGAAAATCCTGCTATTAGCAGAGATAGGAGTTCGTCTTTTATTATAGATAAATCTGAAGATCTTTTAAAATCCTATATTCAGGAAGTGATTCAGGATGTAGATGGTTTAAAAATGTATAGTATTAAATATTATAGTTGTGTAAGTCCTTCTGTTAATTTAAAAACCTCCTTGTACAGGATGTTATTTCATAAAGCTTTCTTAATTCTGATATCCATTCCAAAGAGGATAGGCAAGAATAGCTCTAAGGTACTACCTCTTTGCTTAGTTTTACTCAGAAAAGATACTGAGAAGTCCTGTACTTCAAAATAAAAACTATTAAATTGATTTAATTCAGTGCTCCCTAAAACATTTTTTAATCACTGATTTCCCCACTTTCTTCTCTATAATAATTTGTTCCTGTGATATTTTAAGAAATGCTGATTTTGCCTAATACCTTCATTTAATATTATAATAATGCAAAGACTTGGGTCTTTTACCTCCTGTACTTAATAGTTTCCCAGCTACCTTAGTCAGGGGTCTTTTAGATAAAATGAAAAATGTTAGTGCTTGGTTCATTTTAGTAAATTAGTAAATGTAAGTCTTGTAATAGTTCACTGGTTAAAAAAAAACAAGAGCAAAGAAAAAAGTGTTTTATTAATTTTCCATATTTCATAGACATTTTTTCTATAAGCATGATCACTGAAAATGCATCACGTAAGAGCAAAGTAGTCAGCTGGCTAGGATAGCAATGGATTTGAATTGCTTGTGTTAATTTAGTGAAGATTATAATGTTTCCCCTTTAATCAAAGTTTGGTTAAAATGGGATAGGCAATAGAGAACAGCTGAAATCTTCCCAGCAGCCCCAAGGAAAAGAGGATGCTTCAATGGACAACTGTGGTATATCTTAAGTATTTTATTACTCAAAGATATTATGTTCTTTCATTTTCCATATCAATCCAATACCATCCCCATTTCCTTATTATGCTGACCAAAAGAAGATTACAGAATGGGACTAATCCTTGTAGACATGTTGGAGAGGCTTTGGGAAATTCATAAATAAATTCATAACAGACAGTTAAAATGTGTGGGCTTTATCCATTTGGCCCTGGTTATAATTAAGTCAATTCTAATTCATATACACTTAAACAATTGGGTTACACTATATCGAAATAGTAATTTGGGGCGAAAGTTTGGAAATAGTTGTTGTTTTGGTTTTTATTAACTCCTATTACTGTCCTGACACTAGCTTCCCTGCTAGCATTAACAAATATTAACAAATATTTGATAAATATTTGATAAATTTGATAAATAAACATATAATTACCTCCTAAGTGCATTGACAGCATAATAATAGCACCTTGGGTAAAAACAAAACAGAAAAATAAATATGAAAGACCTTGAGTTTAATGGTCATACAGAATAATGTAAGCAAAAAATAAAGTGATAAATAAAATTGTTTAAGTCATAATAGATGTATACACACAGTATCTTAGAAGCACCCCAAAGGGAAGTGATTATTCCCACCTGGCAGAATAAGGAAAGACTTCAAAAAGCAGTATGTTTTAAATGGGGTCATAAAGAAAGCATAACTTTTTGACATATGGCCTGGGAGAAATTCAAAGAAATGTGGAATTGGAGAGCATGGAAGCATTGAAGAGTTTAGTTTAAGGGGATGTTACAGAAAACCAGAAGTGGCAGTTATTAAGGCAGTGAAAACAGATTTCATAAGGAATTGTTGCGGTTGGGGGAAGGAGATCTTAGTATATGATTGGGCTCAATTCTGAATACAACAAGAACACGTGGGAATTCATAGTCAACAAGCAGAATGAGGGGGTCAGTGAATGGAAAAGAGAAGACATCAAGCGTAGGGGGATTCTTGCTAAGCCCACTTAAGATTCTTGCTGAAAAGAGGCCAGGGTGATCAGGTAATTCCAGTGGGGGTTGAGTACTATAACCAGATATCACAGTCGCTTGCATATCAAGGTGGAGGAATCTCTGTAAAATGCCCTAGGAGGCAGTATTCTTGCTAAAACTGGGCTAGGCAGGCCCAACAATGGGTCAAAGTCAAGGCCTCGTCAAAAAGAGACCTCAGAGGAGCCTGAGTAAAGTTTGGTCAAAAAGAGAGTCCTTGTCAGACCCATTAATAATGGGATTTTGCTAGTGCACTGGGAATGTAGGCAAGGATGACAACAAAGGACCTGGAGGGCTGTTCTAGAGTATTTGGACCTATAAGTGATAAGGGGCTATTTTACTAATTTTAATTCATTTTCTTTTTAAATTTCAAAGCAAGAGCATGTGTCGAACTGATTGTATTTTAATAATGACTCACCCAAAGCAAATAGCAAAGAGAGATGGTGCAAAGATAGGTAGACTGCTCAGAAAGTGACTGCAAAAGTCCAGGTGAAAGGAGATGAGCTTCTAGCTGGAGAGTGGGAATGGGGACTCTTTTCAGGCTGCCTTGACAAAGTACACAGCCTGGGTGGCTTAAACAACAGATATGTACCAAAGGCTACACATCCATGAGTGCAGTGCTGGAAAAGTCATTATCCGGTGAGAGCTTTCTTCTTGATTCGTAGAAGGTGACCTTCTCGCCATGTCCTCACACAGCCTTTCCTCTGTGCTCCCTCACAGAGAAAGAGGAAGATGTCTCACATTTCTTCCTGTTTGTGTAAGGACATCAATTCTATTAGAGTAGGGCCCCACCACTATGAGCTCATTTAACCTTAATTACTTCTATAAAGGCCCTTCTTCAAATATCATCACATTGAGGGTTAGGGCTTCAGCTTTGACGAAAGAGGGCCACAGTTCAATCCATCCCACTGTGTAACTCCCAGGTGGTTTTATCCTTGGAGATACAGGTTAATCTCCATATAAATGCTGGATTAAAGTACTAACTGTGTATATGTATATAGTGTGTGCTATATATGTTGAGCTAACATTCATCTTTTCATATGGATAGAATAAAAAGAGAAGAGGAAAAAAATGTTCTCCTTGTGATGAGAATTTAGCATTTACTCTCTTAGTAGGGGAAGGGGGTGGAGAAGGGAAAACAGGACTTCTGGGAAAAATAAATACTTAGAAGAAGAGATGAAAGATGTGATAGTTTTGTGACAGTGTCTGTTTAAGTGATTTCTTGTCCTTCTCATTTCTGGTGATAGGAGTCAATCTTCTCTGGTTACAGAACTCCCAGGGATGGGATTGATGATTTATGAATTATTTGGGGAAGCTCCACTGTTAGGAAAATAAGGGGATTTAAAAAAAAACTCTTCACAGAGTTTTGGATCCCTTTGCCCTACTTTTACGGTATAAGTGTGCCGAATCCTAGACTGCCTTTACAAAGACATTCATGGCAAATTCTCACAAAATCACATGAGGAGTTATTTCTAAGGATGCGAGGCCTTTGATATTTCCACAAGTTCTCCAAATAGGAGAAGTAAAGGCAACAAAGATTTCTCCTAAGCCATCAAGCAAATATCTCTAGGGGTCGTCTTCATGATGCTTGTCACTAGTGTGTGTACACTCTAATAATTCATCCTATTCTGTGTTGATTTGTTCTAATATAATCACAGAATCAATATAGTACCATATCTTAAGTATTTCCTTCATTAGCTTACTGGCTTTCCACTGTAATTAAAAGTAAACACAAAAAAGATTAATAAGCTGAGATGGAAATAGATAAAGTAAATATAATTATTTCATTTCATAATAAAGTGGCCTGCCTTTTTTTTTTTTTTTGCTCTTGTTTCTTTACTCTAAGTAGAAAGAGACCAGTGCAAAATATTAGAGAGGTAGAAAAAGTTTTATTTGCCCTTCCAACTTTCCTTTAACACCCTTGTAGGATGTCACCATTGTAGGCTTATGAAAGGCTGCTGAACTTCTGTCCTGTGATCCGGGTCTCAGAATTAACTGACCTTATTTTTAATAATCTGTTAAACCTCCAATATTGTTATGTAGTACCCATCATAGAATTAATTCACATGAGAAAAACTATTGAGAACCTACCCTCTACCAAGCACTGTGCTCAATCCTGGGGGGCCCTGTATGCAGGGGAATTAGAGTAGAGATTATAAAAGTTTAAAAGTCGTTGAGATTGAAAGGATACTTGAACAATCCAACTAGCCCAAGCAGTAGATACTTTTGTTTGGGATATCTTTTAATATTTTTCTGAACATGGATCCAGGTTACTCTAAGTTCTACCACCTCTTTGAAGGACTGCTCCTGACATTAAATATGGCCAAAGCTAAACTTTGCCATTATAGATTATTCTTCTAACAGAAGAGATGGTCGTCAGTACTCTTATTTATGTAGTAGTTTTACCATATCTCCTTCCAAAACAAT